AGAGCCTAGCGCAAGTCAATTGTATAATAAAGCTCCAAAAACATAATCATTATCACGTATGCATAAGTTATATAGTGCCATATGACACGGTGACTTTGTATAACGAAGAAAGAAGCTGTCTTTTGAGGTATTAGCCCAGAGACCACTTGGAGGGAACTAAGATGAATCACAAAACCCTACGTCAAGATAGCCAGCTTCTAACAATAACTGAACCTGGGACCTACTGAATATGAGGCAGGAGTGCTAACCACTGGGTAAATGCTTATACCTCTGAGGCTAGTGAATTTTTTTTTTATTTGTAGTGTTCTGTCTGACGACAGGTCCATATATTATAAACAGGATCCTTCCAACCTCTTCAGGTTGTCAGGGACCTGCTCATATATATATATACATTCTTGGCAGAGATGATCAGAAGTGGTTTGCCATTGCCTTCTTCTGTGTGTGAGTGGAGTAATTGTTGGGATGCCACGGAGAAACCGGGGAAGCCCCCGGAGGAAAACTCCGTGTTGCCTAGACCACGGCCTTGCCCAATGGTATTTTAATTTCTGAAACTTCTGCTCCAGTTACCTCTTCTGGTGGAATAATGCATGCCCAAATCTCGTGGACGTGTTTGTCCCAACCAGCCTGAAGTAAGACGGCTGCTTCCATCACAACAATCTGGTGACCAGCTTCAAAAAGGGCCTTAATCTGACCTTTTACACGATCCAGTAGCACTGGCCAAACCAGACCATTTAACTTGTCTAACTGTTCCTACAAGGAAATATATTAGAGATTAGAATATTAACAGTCGAAAGACCAAACTGAATTTTATTATATTTAATATGGGTGTCCTCACTAAATTGCACTGAGGACATTTAATTTTTGGTCTATTCTGGACAACCACTGCACACAAAACCCGAACGACTCTGACATATTTACGGAATATTATTACATTTAGTATTGATATGTCTCAATGAACACAAAATGATATTTTCTGTCCAATGAAACTTGCCAATTTAGTTTAGAATAAAAATAATTTTTTAAGAATATATAAGTTAACAGAAAAGACACCTAAGTTCTTATATGTGATAAACCACTTCTTAGAATATATAACTGTAACCTGCTGAAACAGATTTATTGATTAACCGTTCACTGGCTACTCTGGTTGTAATAAATAAAACAATTTGATTTGTTTCCTGTAAGGAAGGAAAAGTTTCAAAGTTCAACTGACAAAAGTAAAGGAAAAGTTTAAATTTCTGTTTGAAGTTCAGAATCATGATTGAAAAACATTTTAAGTTAATTTAAACCTGATATTTTTTGGTTCTACACATTACAAATCACAGGCTCCAACATGAAGATGCACTTCAACTTCCATAAAAAGATCAGAACTTCTTTATTAACCAAACAAATACTAGTTTCTCATGGACTCTGCTCAGTGGAATTAGTTAATCTGCCTACAATACGCAAATTTCAATACCTTATTTTTGAACACAATTGCTCCTAAAGCCTTCCTGTTGATTTCTTCATCATCATCCAAAATTTCCTTGCCAAAGTGTTGCACTATTGATTCATAACAAGTCTGTCCTTTCGTATAAACGCCGTGGGCAAGAATATCACAGTTCAACAACCCTGCTCCAAGGTTTCTCAAATGTTCTCCCACCGAGGACTTTCCACTTGCAATATTGCCTGTCAAACCAATAACATACGGCTTCCTGGATAGTAGAGGCCTTGCCTAGAAGTAAGAAAAAATGGACTTCATTTTACTGAGGGTGTTTTAGAACAAACTTCTGGGAACAATAATTGGGCACAACAGAGAGGGAAATTAGAAGAATGATCGACAAAACTGCATAGTAAGAAACTTCATAATTTGTACTCTTAACCAAATATTATTAAGGTTATCAAAACAAGGAGAAAGAAATGGGTGGGACATGACACATAAATATAATTTTTCATCAGAAGATATAAAGGAAGACCCAGGTGTAGATGGTAGGATATTAAAAGATATTTTAAATGAATAGAGTAAACTGATTCAACTGAATAGGGTTCGTTGGTCGGCCCTTGTGAAGAAACACGAGTCTGCCATCCTAATAATGCGGCTGACACATTCAATAAAACGGCAAACAAAGGTCTTCCAGGAGTCCTTGTCTTCTATTATAAAAATTTGTGATTCCTCGTTTTCGTCAATAAATTACGTCATCAACAATGTCAACTATAAACAAACTCGGGATTGTTGTGGAACACAACAATACCGAGTTTAGTGTCTTACTCAAGATTTTAAAACGCAACCAACCCCCCCGAAGGAAGTGTTGGTCAAGTGTTTTAACCCTCCATTCGGGGAGTTTAGTTTAGTTTCTTACACAAGATTTTAAAACGCAACCAACCCCCCCGAAGGGGTTGGTTGCTTTTTAAAAACTTGACCAGCCCCTCCGAGGAGCTCCGAAAGGAGCGTTCTGCCCTATTAATTAAAAGGTATGATGATAAACTGTACTGAGACTCAAGAAAGTATTTTCCAGGTAAATTTTATGAAAGAAAAAAGGTATTCATTATCTGTCTCTCATTCCCTTTTACTTCCAATTAACACGCACACGGACTAATGATAAAACTGTTACCTCTGGTACTCTGAGTCTTGTGCCGAGCAATCTCATCCTATTATTACTTGAGCTGATCTTGTCTTCTTCCTCATCACATGTACGTTCTGAAACAGCCTCTAGTATATCCACTGTGTGGATGTCTAATATTGGCAGGTTGTTTTGACAGCGACATTCATTCACTTTTAGCCCTCCCTTGTATGTTTCTGTACTCACCACTATCATCTGAATAAACATAAGATAAACACATAAGGTTTGACACTTTCACAGCAGTGAAATTTTGGCTGTGGTCTTCTGGGCTTAACAGTCTCAAGTCTTGTAAGTAGCTGAAATTATTTTGGAGAAACCTGTTGAAAACCCTGAAGACGGAAGTAGCAGGTACCTCTGAAATGTTCGCAAATCAACTACAACACTTCACAGTCCCACAACCCAGATGACCAGAATCAAAAAAGATAAGCAGTTTTATAGGCCTAGCTTATAGTTATGTTAAGGTTGTGTCCATCTAAGCCAGTATTCTGCAACCTTTCTTAACCACAGCACATCCTAATCTGTCAAAGATACATGACGGTACACCGTAAAATTTTGTTCCACAAAAATGAGGTATTTGTATATAAAAATACTTGCCCTATAAGAATGTAAGCATATGAAAATAAAAAAAAAATACACGCTGAATAAAACTATCAATGACAAACCAGTGTGTGTGTTACAATTCCAACTACAAAAGGAATGACAGTGCCTTTTTCCAAATACAACATCTCACAAAAATTTGCAGCACACCTGTATATCACAGCATACTGGTTGTGGAACACCGGTCTAAGCAGATCTTGCCTCACACGCCTATTTTCAAGGGACTGTCTCATTGCGATATCATGCTTGTATTCCAAATCATGTTTTATTTTTTATTTGTAGTGTTCTGTCTGGCGACAGGTCCATATGAACAGGATCCTTCCATCCTTTTCTCGGACTTGGACCTGTTCATATACGTTCTTGGCAGATGATTCAGAAGTGGTTTGCCATTGCCTTCTTCTGTGTGTGAATGGAGTAATTGTTGGGATGCCACGGAGGAGAACTCCGTGTTGCCTAGACCACGGCCTTGCCCAACACAAGTTATAAATTCGGGCACCGCCGGGAATCGAACCCGAGACCCCAGGATTACAAGGCCAGCGTTCTAACCGCTAGACCACCGTGGCAGGTTTCCAAATCATGTACAAGATGCTAAAATGGTTTGCAATTAATTTACTTCTGAGTCTCAATATAAAGTTGCAATTTAACAGATCATCAATAATTAGATACTCGCAACACACTTCTTAAAGAATATTCCATAATCTGAGACACTGATACCCATTTGCAGGTATAGTAAAATTTAAGTAATGTTCACTTTCTATAAGTATGCAGAATCATCAATAAGATTCACAATTCTCTATCTGGAAGGGTTGAGATGCTGCCACAGTTCAACTTACAACTTGGCAATTTGAAAGGGTATGATGGACACAGTTCCAGCCACCTACCTGAAAGTTAGGGTCTTCTCTTGTAGGTCCCAATGGGTCATAAATTGGAACAATGTCATATTGCAAGCCAGGATCTATATCTTGAAGAAAGTCTTCAAGTAAACACATTCGATCAGAGCACGGTTCAATCAGCTCCCACAACAGTTTATCTACAAAAAAAGACATTCTTAGCTAAGTCTGTAGTACTTCTATTGATATCAAATTATTACATAAATTCCTTACTTCAAAATTTACCTTCTTAACTCTATGGAGCAGTTCAAGAGAATCCCTACATTGTATAGAACCCAAAGGTTCATTAATGTTTGGAACAGCCTGTCAGTACTCTCCATCCTGAGCCATATGAATCTAATCCCTACTTTCATGCCATATGTTTTAAGATCCACATAAATATTATCCTCCTGTCTATGCCTAAATCTCCCAAGCAGCCTCTTCCCTTCAGGTTTTCTGACTGGATTTTTATAAGTATTTCTCATCTTTCATATTCATTCCACATGCTCTGCCTATCTCATCCTGATTGAGATTTGAGCAATTAAATACTTGCTGAAGAGTAGAAATTATGAATCTCCTCATCATGCACTTTTCTCCAGCCTCCTGCTGCATTCTCCTTTTTAAATCATAATATTCCCCTCATCACTCTGTTCTCAAATATCTTCAATGTATTTTTTCTCTTACTGCAAGAGGCTAAGGTTCATGAAAAACAGGCAAAATTGCAAGATTATAGTACAGCTGAATTACTCCTCAGAAACGTCTATCTTTTTAACATTCTAAACATGTTTCACCGAGTTCCGTGTGTAACTGATATTGGCTTAGGTGAAATGAAAGCATGCAAGAACAAAAAAACTGGATCTCTATGAATACAGCCCAGAGGTTAATGAGACCCAGAACTTGGACAGGGGGCTTTCATCAGATGTCTCCTCAATATCATGGCACAGACAAAAGCAATTACATAATATAAAATATATCATATATTCCACATTAGTTTTCCACAGATATCAAACAGACCTCTCAATCTAACTAGCTATATTTCTCAGCATGGTATTAAACAGCTGTAACTATCATAAATGATAAATATTTTATCCACAAACTGACTTACATAAACTCATAACTGACCCTCCACCATCTCCTTCCCAGTTCATATTTTATATTGATATCCTGTAGCTATACATTTTCCATTAACACTGTGATGTTACATTAACCAAATCACCCAAATACATAATCATGTTTGTTGCAATATATACAAACTTAAATAGTATCAACAAACCCCAAATAAGGATTGTGTCTTACATTTCAGCATTGACGTATCAGTAACACCTACAGTAAGCTTTCTTGTACAACGAAGGACAGCTTCACTCAGCAGAATCTTATGTCCAGTATGCAGCCGATCAAATGTCCCTCCAACTACCACATTCTCATACATTTTAAATTCTTTATTTGGTAAAATTCCATCAATACTGAATGATTCAGCCATTCCGGAGACTACATTGTTCCCATGAGGAGGATGATTCAGTGTAACAACATGACACGTTTGTGTAGCATTTAAGAGGCAGGACTTTAAAAAATTATCTACTTCATCCTTATGAAAAAGACAATCAAAGATTACCACCTCTATTTGCTTTCTTGTTTGGATTGTAGATATAAACGGATCTTTGATTCCAGCTAATAAAACTCGAACATCAAGATTATGGCAAACTGCAGTAGCTTGAGAATATATACTAATTACAGCAGGGCCATGATGCTGCACATTTAAAACAGTCTCACTACTTGAAGGTAAACTTTGTAAACGCCGTCTTCCGGGGTACAATTGAACGTACAACGTTGAATTAACGTGCTGATTAATTGCAGGTAAAATTCTCTCAAGCTTCGTTGGTTTTGTTAATACCAATAGGCCAATTCTTGCCATCTTTAACCTCAACTTATAAAAGTCATTATATATTAACGCACAATTACTGACAGTTCAAGTGAAACTTATTTTACGACACCAAAGTTTCACAATATGCTTTTAACTCGCTGAACACTTTCTTCACTCCGACTCTTTACCTCGCTTTAAAAACTTAAAACAACACAATAATATCACAACACCCTCTCCATTTGAACAAAAATGACTTCTGGTCGTCTCTGATCAAAAAGTTGACAGTGGAACCACGGATCCGGAGAATCTGACGTAAATACGTCTCTGTAATGTAATGAAATGTAATGTAATAATTCTTATATAAGATAAGTCGCTTCTACCAGCACAAAATTATCTAGTCTACGACCTACTTCTACAACCGATTCACAGCTCAGCTGTTTCCGCAATAACGAAAGCGGATTGTTTACGGCAGTAATGTAACACAACAATGCCGAGTAAACAGATGACGTTTCTTAGGTAACATAACAATGCACGCAAAGCTGACCATTGTTGTCGGTCCATATTTACACATTGTTGATATGGATCATACACGTTTTCCTTTCACTTTTTTGCCGAATGACCCTTCCATATAGACGTATTTACGTCAAAACAATCAATGAGATAGGTATGTAGGATTTAAGGTTTTCACGGCGAACTTGAAGATGTCTTTCTTTAGGGTTGTGCCGTGTAATTTGGAAGAACTTTAGCGACGTTTCAGAGGTCCTTGCTGCCTCCATCATCAGGGATACTAAGGAACGCTATGCAAGTCTTAAGCATGTCTCATCTTAATTTTACCTATTAATTGAATAGTTTGCACAGTATTGCAATATTTACAAACTGATTTGAGTCAAAAACCGATCACGTAACATAATAACACCATTCCAAATAAATCTTCGTTCACATTCAAAGGACGTATGTACAGTAATTCACAAGCTTCCATGCGTTTCGTTTATAAACACTGCTTTCTGGTTAGAAAAATATGCATGGATAAAACCATCAAACCGTACTCATAACCCCCAAAATGTAAGGTGTTGCAGATATTGCTTTCTCCTATCCGTACCATGCGATTGTTAAACCGTGACATTAACTGTACTCGGTACCCCCTATAAAGTAAGGGGGTTACAAAAATTGCATTCTACTATACAGCAGGATGCGAAAATTTAACTAGGGTGTTAGCACCAATGCCCTCACTAGACGATCATTGGACATTATGCTCTCCTAGACAAGGATTGAGTAGGACAACTCCACGGTAATGGTGTGATGCTTTCATGACCGAACCAGTATTGACAGTCAGTAAAATTAAAATAGAACATCAAAATTTCCATAGACTGTAAACGTTCTTTAAAATCTAAGATATGCTTATAGATAATTATTCAAAACTCTCTATGCAGCTTTAAACTATTCAACATATTGCACTGACTTGCTACACAGAAATTAATAGACAAATAGCGATTAATACATACAGTGCCATCTGTTGACAGTTATTGCAAACAAATTTCTTAGTTTCCTTAATGTAGAATTTTTTTAG